AGCTCGGCTTGCTTTTGAATCCTTCATGGTTTCCTCATCCTTATGGGAAAAATGACTATTGGCAGGCTCACGTCGGGCACATCTTCGGCGTCTTCTTCAAGACCCTTCGATGGAGGCTATATTCATGGGCCTGACAGAAGAAGTGGCCCGACTAGTTTCTTTACTTGGGACATATGTTGAGTCCCGGTCTTTTGATGTGCGGGTTCTTGCCAGGTCAATGGTCCCAAGTGCTTGCGTGTTGTTCATCGGGGGGACGTTCTACTGATGGAGTGGCTCTTGGGTCTGGTTCTGGTCATTGGGCTGCTAGTTCAGCACCACCATTTGAGCAAGATTCTGGTCGGGGACGTACTACTAAGGCACCTGCGACATCTATAGGCCAAACATGAACTGGGGCTGCATCCAAGCCATTGCAGCGAGGTGACCTTCCTAGCTCTGAATCCACAAGTTGGTGCCGTGGATGTACTACACTAGCTCCTAGAACTATTGGTTGTTGACCCTGGTAGGAACCACTAAGGGCTCAACCTGCGGGGGAGGCATAGTCAAAGCAGGCAGTGCTGGGATGCTCTATGCCGGCAACATTGGGATTCTTGGTATCGTTAAGGGAACCAAGATCTGCCCGATCTGTACGTTCTAATTTAGTGCATTCTAGGCAAGCAAATTCTACCCCCAACTGAAGTGTCATTGGTCTAGACGTTATCGGCGTTGTTGTTGTTGCTGCTGCTATTGCTTATCGAATTCACTGGATATGATTGAGTAGAAAGATGGTGAGAACATGGCTTTTCATAGCAATTCCCACAGACGATGCCAATTGATAGTGCACGATCTGGTAGCTCCCTACTAGAGGACAGCTCGGACGCCAGGCTAGTGAGGTCAGCAGACCAAGCTATAAGAAAGTGTTAGGAGTACCTGAGGTGCTTTTTTTGGGGTGGACACTCTGATGCTTAAGTCAGCTATGAGAGTAGAATGAGAGTAAGAGAGCTTAGAATGCAAGAGCAAATTGAATGCACAATCGCACGTACCTTCTGTGGTTGAAGGAGGTGTCTTTATATAGGCATAGGTCTTACATAGCGTGTTTGAGATCTTTGGGGGAATGTGGCTTATTGGCCCACCACGAAAGTGGTTTTAGTGGATAGCAATAATGCTTAACCGATTATCTCCGAAGCGGGTGACATGAAAGTTCGTTCTATCGATCAAGCGACGTGATCCTAGAAGAATTGGAGACGATAAGTCGCACATAGCAGAAGTCGGTCACCATGTCACGTAGGTTGCCACCTCAGGCCATGGTCAGGTCAGTAAGTGCTCAACAGGAGTTCAGCCCTCCTGCCGAGGTGCATACGCCGCATAAGGCTATGCCCTCCTCAGTCCTAGTCGAGGTGATGCTAGGCGCTCACTCTCTCAAAGCATCCAAGGTGCATCCGAGGTGGTTCCAACTGACTTAGTAAGGACACATCATTGCCTACGTGGCACCGAGGTGTTATGCAACAGTTCGGAAGTGCCACATGGCACGATGTCATTAGAGGGTCAAATTACCCCTAATCAAATTCAAATGGATTGGTTTATATGAAATCTAACCCACATTCAACCCAATTAAATTTATAAGTACTAATTAACATTAAAATTAATAAAACCAATAATTAAAAACAAATGTAAAAATTATTGTAATTTAATTATTGTTAATTAAAGTAATTAACAAAAAGTTAGTTAATTTGCTATAACTTACAATAGTAAAATTAAAACAAATATCAAAAAGGGAATATGAAAAATTACTATTAACGGTAAGTAAAAACAAGAGTCGATATTTGCCTTGCTTTTGGTGATATGCATAGCACGTGCCATGTATTATATATGTGCATGTTCTAGACTGAGCTTTCAAGCCAGACTCAAATGATCACTCCTATCCCCACCCAATCATTGTCAAGCTTTCTACTGTCAAATTGGCTAGTATCATGCTTTCCTATGCTTTGGATAGGCAGGCTTGGACCAATAATAAAATCCTACACCAGTTAATCAGTCATAAAATACATGAGACCCACAATCATTCAACCTCTGACTCTAAGCCAGATTTATTTTTTCGGTAAATTATAAATTGATACCGAGTACTTTGGGGGTAGTGACACTTAAGTGCCACATTTTATACTTTGGACTTTTTAGAAATATATACTTGAGTCCAACTCTTTTAAAACTAAGGTTACAATGTATAAAATTACAAAAATGCCCAAGTTCAGGTTTTCTTTTTTTAACTGTTTTTCTTTGTTAAAAAGAAATGGTTTTATTCTTTGCTAATCAGTCAAATACTTTTATTCTTTGTTAAAAAGAAGTATAGAGATGGTTTCATGTAAAAAAAGAGTAAAATAAACATTTAGTAAGCGAAAGAGAATCTAAACAATTTTTTGTAATTTTATTCTCATCTACATCTGCGCTCACACGGGAGATGTTTCCAATGCACGCCGAGATGTGCATGTGGGGCTCCTATAGGGCACTGATGTGATGTCTATCATTAGTTGCATAGTCCGTTACACAACCATGGTGTTGGCTCGATTAATCTGAATTGAAAGAATACATGCTAGTTTTACACAAGAACAACCATTCCCATGTGTGAGACCCTCTAATAGAAACTAAAGGGAGTGGTTCTTCGCTTTCTCTCTCGCCTCTCTCTCAGCCTTTTTGACATATATTTCCCGGATTTGAATTGGATCTAAATGAAAAATCAGACGTTTAGACCATGTTTGGTTCGTTGCTCAGGATTTCATTTTTTTTAATTCTTGTTTATTTCGGTCTCATTATTTTCAGAATGAAAAATCAGCTCAGCAAAGAAATTGATGTGGCTTGCAACATGAAAAATAATCATGCCCCATCTTGCCCATTTTTGTTCTTTAAAGAAACTCTGCCAACGGTTAGCAACAAAAGACAGTGAAAAACTCCTTATCCATGAATTCTCTCTTGCTTTAACCACACCCATTTCATTTCTCTCTGTATATCTGTCGAAATAATTAGCTCACAGGAACTGGGTAATAAAGAAAGATTTGCCATCATGAATAGTCTTGCTTGCATGCCACCACTCTTCTATTGTTTTATTCACCCTCTCCTGCTCGGTTTCATACAATAACCTGAATTATAAAAAAAAATAACACAAAGAAAACACTCCTCCCATCCAAAACCCATCTCGAGTTGCTTTAAGAATAACCCCATTAATCCATCATTCTCCAAATGATTAAGAACCCACTTGCTCAAGATCCAGAAATCATGCCTTTCTGCTTCTGGAATTTCTGAAGAAGCTCAATGATGTAGGATGGGGTAGGATCCTACTAATTTAGGATATGGTGGCGTGCTTTGTGGGGTGAATGAGCTGTGAGGGTGATTAGAGATGAAGAATATAGAAGGAAAAACAAGTAGGATTCTTGTTGTGCACTAAAGAATGAGTAAGAAGTTAGAAGAGGTGAACTCTTGCTGTTAGGGAGAACAGCAAAGAGATAGATCACTTAGAGAGAGAGAGAGAGAGAGAGAGAGAGAGGGACAGAGAACCTCTGGCAACAACCAGAATTCACTAAACCAGTCTTTATTTCATCAAATCACTCTTTTTTAATTCCAATTACAATGACTCTTTATAGACTCAATATTTTTAATTCGGATGTCCCCTTTCAGACTCTTAATTTGGACTAGAAAACTGACTAAACACAACTCCTACTTACTTAAGAACTAAGATAAATCCAATAACAAACCCATTAGGACAATAAATAAGGAATCCAACTCCTAAACAACTCCAATAACACTTTCCTAATCCAACTAAAGCTACTTTAATTTAAAGACATCAAAATAACTAAAAATAGCAAACTACGAGTTTACTAAAAATAGTAATTACGAGAATTATTATGAATAGCAAGTCTGAGAGTTACTAGAACTAGTACTTTCAAAATAACAAGAACTAAGTACACCCACTTTTAGTTTTCAGCAATAAGATGAGAATGAGGCCAAAGGCCTTTTTCAGACCATTTCTTCCTTCAAATCTGTTAACTTCTTTTTGGGTTTCCAAAGAGGCTCAAACTGATCTAACCAAGTGTTTGCTGCTGCATTGCTCAAGCATCTGAAACTACATGAACCATCCTTGGAGACTCTTGGGTTTTTTCTTTGTTACAGTGGTGTGTTTTCTTTACTGTTTCTTTTACTTGGACTATAAGGTTGTCAATAGAGGATTCCTGTTCACAGGCAGTCAGAGAGATTTTATGTGGTTGGGTTTCAATGTGACTGGTCAAGATAAACGAGTAAGGTTTCTTGCAGAGGGTGGTGAAGACTATGATTTGTTTAAAGGAGACTGGTTCTAGGATGAACAGTACCCACTATACCAGTCTAAATATTGCAGATTTTTAGATGAAGGGTTCTGGTGTACTGAGAACGGAAGGCATGATGATTTCTATACTAGGTGGCCATGGCAACTCAAAGATTTCAACTTGCCCAAGTTTTACTGACAGTGACCTGCATGGGGTGGAGGGGGTAGAGGCTGGAGGCTGGAGAGAAAGGAGGGTTAGGGCACAGAGAGAAAATTAAAATAAAACAAATCAAATATAAAAATTCAAACCACTCCCGTGAGTCTCTATTGGAGGGATTCACACACAGGAATGGCCCTTCTTGTGTCAAATTAATGTATACTTTTTTAATTGGCTCCACAGCCTGCTTAACAGTGTGAGAACTTCAGCTAATCTGAACTCGTATCATACGCAATAGTCACCCCCATTAGAGAGGCATATTCTACTAAGGTATTGAGTCTTGGAGGTGCTATAAAATTGAAATTGGCATGTCTCTAGAAAGATTAAAAATAAGGTATTAAGTGAGGCACTAGGACCTTTAGATGCATGAGGCATAAGCTTCAAGCATATAAATGAGTTCATTTTTTTAAGAAACCAAGAAACTAAAATAAAAATGTAGAAATAGACTCAAAAGGAGCATATTTTTTATGGGAAAAGCATACAAAAGAATATATAATCATATAACAAAAACTGTAAGAATATCAAGAGCTTACAAACCATTTAATAACTACTAAACACTTTAAATGAAATAGAGTACATTTGTAAATATGTAAAAGCATAAATGTAATCACAAGTACATACATATACATGTGTATACATAGCTATAATTACAAGAATCTATTTGCTGCCCGTGTATATACACATGTAAGACAACACAATATGTGAGAATGTGCTTTATACTTTCTGGCATGAGCTTCGAGGCATTTTCCTTGAGGTTTGTATCAAGGTGAGTCTCAAGGACTAAGATCCATAGTTTTTTTAAAACACTGACTCTATATATCAAGCACAATTTTAACTGGTATCTTCTGAAAATACAAAAAACAACTTGCTAGTCAATTGAAAAGTGAATCATACCAACAGAAAATGAAAGTCAAGCTTGGCCATAACCTTGAAGTTTTAGAACTCCTTAACTATTATTGCCTAACAATTTCCAAGCAATATATCAAGCGGGAATACATAAGCTCATTGTGATCACCAAGACAGACTTTATACCTCAATTTGTGGATGATAATCAGCAATTCCCCCTGGAGGTCAACTTTTAATATTTAATTGGTGGAAGCACACTCACATCAACAAACATCATGCTGATCTCAGATGCATAAAAGGCAATGCATAGCCAAATTCACTTTTAGAACACTAAGAAGTTGTCCCTCTATGCTAGCTTCAAGTAAATAACTTGTCCCTCTACACCAGTGGCTTTCACTAATTTGAATTGCCTAAAGGCAAGTTGCTTCCACAAATGCCCCATCAAAAGCTAAGGCTTAATCATAACATCCGTATCAATGGGATGAAGGAACACCACTATTTCCTAGTCCCATCTTTTGTCCCAAAACTGTAAGCTGCTCAACAAATTCAGCACCTGTAAGAACCTCTGTCGTTCCATATATAACATGCTTGGCTGGCTGCTGACGGTGTGCAAACTCTTGCAAGCTCCCATATTCCATGTAATTACCACCACCCATCATGAACACAATTGCTTCCTTAAATGGTCCTTTAGTACCCACACCAGAGCTTGATTTTGGGGCTCGAGGATCGAAGATGAGGTAGGATTCAATTTCAGGATTGGGTTTTCCGTCCATAAGTGCATCCACTGTTCTTGTCAATGCAAGCTGTCGATCACTTGACAAAAGATTCTTCACACCCGCTGTAACAGCACCTATTGACTGCCCATAGAGCTTCTCAGCCCAGTCAACAATGTTACTCCTGCTAGCAGAGTTAGCAGAAGCCAATGACACATTTAGTGATTTTATCTTCTTTACATATTGAAAAGCACAAGTATCCACCTCAGACTCTCTTAGTGCTGCTTCCACTGCTTCCAAGTCTGAATGAGGTGTGGTTTCTGCAGAAAGAAGATAAATGATTGCAAACCGTAGCTTATCAACCTTTGAGCCTTTCCCTTTTAGAACAATAAGAAGTTCATTTCGATCAATGCTTCCTTTTGTCAGCATATCATTCTCCTTCTTTGCATAAGAATCCAAGGATCTCTCCTTGATCTCACCTAACAGCACAGTAGCAATATTGGTGTGCTTATCAATGACCTGCTTTCTCTCTGTCAGCTCAGGTAATGAGTTCACTGCATTCATCAAATGCTTTGTGTTACCAATCAAATCCTGCCCATCAAAATCTGCCTCATCTTTTCCACCTGTGCGCTTGTTCACCTCGTCCACATCCTTCTTGTATTTGTTCAATTGGTTTTCAATCTCCACTGCAACTTCCGGGAATTCTAATGACCCATTTCCCATCCAGAAGGGATCCGAGTTGTCCAATTCATATGATTTTGGGCCCCCCTTCTCCCCTTGAACAGTCAGCCTATTGAGCTTCAACCCAAGAACATCATGAACGAGTGGACGATACCTAAAATCATGCTGAATTCCTACCGAAAGCTCAAAATTTCGGTCAAAAATACACAGGATTGGCCGCTGGAAGGAGCTCCCCAAGTTGCCCCCTTCAGTAAACAAATTATTCTTTGACAGCAAATGATCACGCAGTCGTAAATCCAGTGCAGAAGCAACCATTTCCGCAGGCCCACCTCGTGGGCACCTTATGATGGGAACTACCGCAAGTGTTGCCAGAACACAGAATAGTCCACTTACAATCTTCTCCACGATCTCTTCGATCTCGCGATCTCCAGCCGAGGGATCGTTCAATTGGACATAACAAAACTTTTGCGCAAGAGAAAACATGTTATCCTCCAGGGTTATAAATTCCAAGTACTGATCGTGCACCTTCGAGATCCGATGAATTGAGTCAGTTTTTAGAGTTCCAGAAGCGAGATCTTCGAGCAGCGGCCGGGGGATGGACGATGAAAAATTGAGGTGGAAGCTCTCGTAGAGAGAAGCAGAGGCATCGGCGGCGATGCGTTGAATGTTATATGGAGTCGACTGCACGAAATAGACAGCCGGGACGTCAGGAACTGGCTTCCTCTCCTTGTCGATGAGGAAGTACAACGTAACTCCATATTTGCGGAGCTCTTTGACATGGATCAGTGGCGAGAGAATGTTCTGGCAGAACTTATCATACACCAGGATCTTGTAAACCTCTTCGTCAGAATTCCCGCTCGAGTTCAAGGGTTGATTCAGATTCAACATCCGAATGATACAACCTACTCGTTAAATATGGGTTGAAAATTCACCAATTTAAAATGGGATGAGAATATAAGCAGCATGTTAATAAAATGAAAAATTAGGGATTCGACTTGTGTATTTATTTTAAGCTTTCTTGTTCCTAAATGAATGTAAAATGAAAGGAGGATGAGATGAAGAAAGTCTTAGTATCTTACTAGTTTGCTTCTGTCGAAGATTGAGAGCCATTGCCGTCTGTCAACCTCCAGCGCTCAGAGTCCTTTCTACTTCTCTACAAGCAGAGATTTGTAGAGTTTACTCTGCTAGTCGGTTTCAGATCTGAATTTCTGTTATTTTGCTTCTGCTTCGCTTCTCCTTCTCCTTCAGAGAGAGAGAGATTGGGGAAGTGAGAAATGGGAATGAGAAGGGAAGGAAAGTGACCTGTCTGTCTCTGAGAAGGCTAAAAAGGATACAATAGTCTCGGTAATAATGTAATAATGTAAAACGACTTCTTGTTTGCCACTGAATATGACAGTCAAAACGACGCTAATATCAGACCGAGTTCGGCTTCGGTCAGGGCAAAGCCCGTTCGACCAATCTTTACCGCCTTGCATTGAAAATAGGGTAAATTATGATCGTGAAAAGATCCTCTTCCGTTAACCTTTCGTTTAAAATCCGCCGTTATAATATTTTTTAATCTCCTTATTATCGTTACAATAACTATTTAGACAATTTTAACCCTTTGAATTAAATAAGAACACCCCAAAAATAGCCAGAAAAAAAACTCCTGTTGTTACAACCCGCCACCACGACGGGTCTTTGCTTACGGAACTGGTTATGGCAGGATGATTTGTTGGAGTCGGAAGCAAAGATGGTAGGAGCTGAGGAAGGAGTTGCTGAATTTGATGCGTTAGCCGTTGATGGTGCGCAATCCGGTGATTCCTATATGGCACTCGCGTGGCTCTTGAAAGGTACTTGAGATGAAGAAGATGAAGAAATCCTCGGGGGTTTGCCCGACGGGAATACTCCAACGTTAAGTTAGAATTCTGTGAAATATGCAAAGAGAGGATGAAGGCTAAGAGTGCAGATAGCGCGAGTATGTGGAAGTTACCTCCGTTCATTGAGATTGGGCTTCTTATAACAGAATTCGGTTGCATCAGGCCCACTAGCCTCTGACAGGGCAGGTATAACTGTCACTGTCATCCTGTCGTAGCCGTTACAGGCAGGGCTGAGGTGGCACGCGCGGGGCCGTCATTGCAGGGTACGTGTCTGTCAGGTGTAAGGCACCCTCTAAAGGTGGCAGGCATGACACTGTCTGATGAGGGACATGGTTGCTGTCCCCAGATTTGTTGGGTACGATGGCCGGGCAGGAGATCTTCCTGCAATATGCCGAACTGCTCTTTCGTGAGTTACCCTATCCCGCAAGTGGCGAGCTGCCAGTGGCAAGCTACACCGAGCTGCCCGACCCGAGGTGTCTTTACCTCGGGGTATCTAGAGGCTGATCGGGTGTTCCTGTTTGGAAGTGGCCCAAAATCCACTGGGAGGAGCTCGGGCATTAGGAAAGGTCAGGGAGTCCCGACCCGAGGTGTCTTCCCTCCGAGTTGCAGTTGCGCTTGTTGTGCTGTCATGCTGAGTCATTGCTTGAGCAAGGTCACGCCCACGTGTACCCATGCTAAGAGGTTGGGCCAAATCACCCTCCATCAATTGCCCCCCACTCCCTGTGGCGGTGTTGACCTAGCACAAAGAGTTCATGTCGCGCCGGGTGGATTTGGCTTCGGTACTCATGCTACTTCGTCACATGACTCGCCTAACTGGACCGGTCTAGTTCCCAGCTCAGTCAAAGGGAACCCAGGTCGCGTTCGGTTTACGCGCGGACGCCAAAAAACGCGCTAAACTAATTTCACCTCGAGGAACTCGTAGCCGGTTTTTTTGAGAGTCGTTGGATCATCTCCATCTTGACCGTTAATGCCCGGATGCAACGGCTATAAATAGTGGCGGACCCTTGGTCATTTCTTCGCCACAAAGTCTTCAGCGTCAGTGTTGAGCTCACATTTGAGGTTCCCAGCTCGGTTATTCCCCTTAGTTCAGTTCGTGTTTCTTGCAGTGAGTCCCCGAGCTTCCTTTCCTTTTCCGAATATTCTTTCCTTTCCGCATTGTGATGTCGTCTAGTGTAGATAGCCTCATCGACGAGCCCAAGGTGGGTACCTTGGCTCAGGGTGGCTCTTCTGCTGCCCAGCCGTCCGATGTACGGGTGGCTTCGGGTCATTTGGCATCCACCTCCCACAGAGATCGGGTGCCAGATCAGTTCGGCCCTTCCACCATGACTCCGGAGAGACTCCAGGACCTCATATAGAGGTTCAACCTTCCTAGGGAGTACTCTTACAGTCTCCCCTCCGGCAGCTTTCCATGGGGGCACGGTCCCGATGAGATCGTGGTCTTCAGGGAGCAACTGGTCGCCAGACTCCGACTTCCTCTTCATCCCCTGATTGTTGAGGTGTTGGTGCACTTTAACATTACCTTGGACCAACTTCACCCGAATTTCATACGGAATGTGGTTGGGACCAGTTCCCTTTGCTTCGACCGCTCCCTCCCCATTGACCTTGATATCCTTAGTACTATCTTGTCAATAAAGAAGAGCGATTCGGGCACTCTCCCCGGGCACAAGCGAGCTTATTATCTGTCTCCCCGCCCGGGTTTTAAATTAATGCACAAGCTCCCGAGTAAAGTCACAGCCTGGAAGCGGGACTACTTCGTAGTTCGGAGCAGCATGGGGTGGCCCTTCCCAACTGACTGGTGGATGGCCGTTCAAGACCCCGGTGTTATCCTCGATGGGAAGACCAAGAAGTCACTTCAATCGTGGGCTCAGCTCGGGTTGAATTACAAGGACTTCACAGCCGAGGAGAAGCTCATCCAGGCCAGCTTGAGCCCGGGTAGGTTTTTCTTTACTCCAGCTTTTTTGTCTGCGTGCTTACTTCGGGGTTACTAACGCCGAGCTTCACTGTAGGTCCTATGGAGACGGACAAGATAGACGGTCAGAGGCTCTTCCGCCAGATGAAGAGAAAGAAGCGCGTAGCCAAGAAGGCATGCATTGAGTCTCCGCAGGCCTCTGTCGAGGCTCAGCCTTCATAGGTCCCGGTTCCGGAGCCCGATCTCCCTAGCGTTCAACCCGTCATCGATCTGGAGAAGGACATGGCGCCTCAAGGTCCCAAGACAGCAGCAGAGCCCACCACTGAGCCTGCCGAGACTACTGCCAGAGGTGCTACAGAAGCCGCCCCTGAGGCACGCCCTACAGAGGCTACAGCCGGGGCCTGCCCTGGTCGTGCGCAGGCCGCGCCAGGTCATGTGCAGGCCACACCAGGTCGTGCGCAGGCCGCCCGTAGGCCGCGTGCAGGTCACGCCAGGCCAGCCGGACCGGTGCCCGGGGGGGACACCAACTTGATAAGTTGTTTGCCTAGGTGTTTGTCTAGTTGTCACGAGGTGCCACGTGTCGCAATTTCATTGGAGGGCCAAATCTGCCCTCATCAATTGCCCCCCACTCCCGAGCTGAGAGTAACTCAGCGAAGGGAGTAGATTTCTTTTGGCCCGTAATTCGACGAGCTAGTAAGTGCTGATCCAATTCCTTAGGTCTCGGGAGCTGCTTGTATGTGGTGAGCTGCCACTAAGGTGAGGGGGTCTCTGCTAGTTCAGTAGTGTAGCCCTTAGGCTCTAGGGCAACTTATAGTTCACTTTTGCTAATTTTGCTCCTGCTGAGGAAGCGACTGGATATTTAGTAATAGTGTGGCCCATAGGCTTTGGCAGTGACTCATAGTCTACTCTTTTTTGACTTTTGCCCGTGCCGGAGAAGCGACCGGGCCTTAAGCAGTAATGTGGCCCGTAGGCTTTGGGAGTGACTCGTAGTCTACTCTTTTTTTGACTTTGCCCGTGTCAGAGAGGACGACCGGGTCTTAAGCAGTAATGTGGCCCGTAGGCTTTGGGAGTGACTCGTAGTCTACTCTTTTTTGACTTTGCCCGTGCCGGAGAGGCGACCAGGTCTTAAGCAGTAATGTGGCCCGTAGGCTTTGCCTGTGAGGTGTCGAGCTATGATTGTGCTACATCAGCTTCGTAATGCCGGTCACCCACTCCCACAAGAAGCTACTAGGAGCTCGACCTTCGGGGGCAGCACTACTAACTTTAGGTCGCCAGCTCACACGGGAGCCTTGGAAGGCTCGACCGGTAAGGGCGCCTATGTAGTCTGTTGGCCGTCAACTCCCGCGGAAGCCACGAAGAGCTCATCTTTGTAGGGGGGACCTTGCGGAGAGGACTGATGAGGCATTATCTGAATTGGGAGTAAGGTTGGTAGAGATACTTAGTTTGTTAGCTCCCTGCATAGTCTTTGAGTTCATAAAAAAATGTAAACTATAAAGCGATAGCTTCAATTTCTAAAAAGTGAGGACTTAGCTTTGGTAAGATGAGAGCTTAGCTTTTGTAGGATGAGAACTTAGCTTTTGTAGCGTGTTCCCACAGACGGCGCCAATTGATGTAACCGTTTCTGGTCACGTACCATTTTTTTGTGATGTATAAATTTTTTGGTTAAGTACCTCGTTATTTGACATGGTGGTGATGTGCCTTGGTGATGAGCTACTTGGTGGCGAACTGCCCGGTGGCGAGCTCCCTGGTGGAGAGCTACTTGGTGGCGAACTGCCTGGTGGCGAACTGCCTAATGGCGAACTCCCTGGTGGCGAACTGCCTAGTGGCGAACTGCCTGGTGGCGAGCTGCCTGGTGGAGAACTGCCTGGTGGCGAACTGCCTAGTGGCGAACTGCCTGGTGGTGAACTACCTGATGGCGAAATGCCTGGTGACGAGCTGCCTGGTGGCGAACTGCCTGGTGGACTCGTCACTTGACTTGCTCCTAGGCGACTTGCAACTCAGAGGATGGTGGAGCTCCCTAGTGCAGCGCAACCCGACTATCCTCCGCGTGAGGTGATTTCCTCTCCTTTGTAGGCGGCGGGAGCTGAGGGACCTGCGAGAACTGAATCAGAGGAC